GAAGCAGTGCGTTCCCCGCGTCCCTTCCCAGGCAATGAGTCTCTGCTGCTAGAAGCTGGAAAAACTCCCCATCGGCAGCGTCTCAGCCTTCAAGGATGGAGGAATTGGCCTAAAACAGGGTGGTAAAAGTAGCTGGGGGTCGCTAATAAGTTTTTCTTCTTTCACTAGTCGTGAGAGGAAACACGTGGCGCCAGTGATGGCTTATTTGACATTGGTGTCGTCCCCGGGAACCCGCTGGCAGCGCCCGCCTCGGCGAGGAGCACCGTGCCGGGTTTGTTGCTGTGTCTCGGGTTTAGGAGCATCTTGTTCACCTGCGCTAGCTGAATTTGGGAGCCTGCTGGCGTGGCAGTCGGGAGGAAGGGGCGGACTGAGCTCTGCCGCGTTCCCAAGCCCAGAGCCTGAGACGGAGTCTCAGGGGTCTCGCACTGCGGGTGCGTCACCCTGCGGCTCCAAAATGCGGCTCCTGGGAGGGACACGCTGTCCTGCCTTCGGCCGTGTGAGCTCAGCTGCAGGAGCGCCGGGTTCTTCTTCAACCTCAACGTGTTCCACGCGCAGCAGAAAATGATGCTCCAGACCATGGTGGTGGTTCTAGCTGGGCCATGGGCTCCTTCGTGCTCCATCGCAGGAGCAAAATAACCTCATTAAAGCTGTGTCCGTCACGGAAAGTGTCCACAGCGGCACCTAGCAGGACCCTTCTGCTGCGTGTTGCACGAGGGTGGACGATGTTTTCCACCCTGAGGCAGGCGGAGGGGGGAGTGTGGGAGGTAGAGCGGCGTGACCACCATCACACCGGGGCTGTCAGGAGAGCAGCGTTGCTTTGGGTCTTCTGTAGCTCTTAAATTTTGTCATCCGGGGTGAATAAGATCGGGGATAAAACGCCGCGGAGAGCCCTTTTCCTCCTAGAAATGGGGGCTGAGTGGTGCTGAGCTCCCCACGTCTCCCATCTGGCTGAGCCTGGCCAGCGCGGCCTGGGGGGTGGGAGGTGCGGGAGGGGTTGCTGATGCCCCGTGTTCTGGTTTCACCCTCAGTAGGGGCTTCGGAGAGGAGGTGTCCCACCGCCCCTTGGCTGCAGGGACCACCCGAGAGCAGGAGGCTCTGCAGCAGGGCAGGGGTGGGACGGTGTGGGACGGTAGGTCCAGAGTTCCCAGGGAGGATGTGGATTTACGCCGCTTCAACGGTCCTAAAAACAGACCGGAGGAGCCCAAACCGGGTGTGGGTGAGCTCTGGGTGCTCCCCTCCAACCCCCAGCCACCGTTTTTGCTACCGGGCCCTTAACAAATGCTTTAAACCCCTTGAATCCCATTTGCGAGGCAAGCTTAAAAGAAGTTTGGCAAGGAGGTGGGGTAAAATTTGAGCCACCGCAAGGGCAGGGGCTCTTTGTCTTCCTTGATTTGTTGCAGCGAATCTCACGTTCTGCTTTTTTCGGAGTGCTGGTGCTGTTCCCGGTGGTCGAGAGCTGCTGCTCTGCTCAGCCCTTTCCTTGGGAGATCGACGAGAGCTGGGATGTTTTTTTCCAGCCTGGAAAGGAGCTCGGTGGGAATTGCCGGAGCCGGGGAAGCAAACGCCTGCGCTCGGCTCCCGGCTCTGTCCCTGCCTGGTTGCTGCCGTCTCCCTGCCTGCAGATGAGCTCCCACCACCCGTTTTTCCTCGCCGGGTGGAGGGTGTTTAGCAAGGGCAGAGTATTTGCAACTCACTGTAATGACTCTGAACAATCAGATCTGTTCAAATGAGATGATCGAGGCTGTTGGCTCCGGATGTGACACCTCCCCGTCCTTCTGCCTGCCAAAAATCTGCCTGATTTACTGTCAGGCTCCAGCTCGGGATGGGGGACCCTGCCCCATCCGTCCGTTTGCCTGGTTCAAGCTGGACAAAGACGTGTGTCGGAAGAGATGGGGGTAACGCAAGAGCTGCTCTGCAGTCTCCGCACCGTTTCCTTTGCCCTCCTTAAAACTAGAGCCCGGCAGCAGCGTTGGACCCTGCCCAAGGGCTGAGCTCGGGGGAATTCACCTTCAGTGGGGCTGTGCCAGCGGCGGTCGCATCCCCGGGCTGGCGGGCAGCCCTTGTTGCCTCGTTGCCCTTGCTTAGCCGGGACGGGGGGATTAGGCATGGCGCGGGATGCTGAGCACCCAGGTTTGCCGGGTGTTCGAAGCCTTACTCGGCTTCTCGTCCCTCCGCTCGAGGCGCTGCGTTGCTTCAAGTCTGGTCCTGCCGCTGGGGAGGTTGAGGTGTCGGCGCGGGGAACGAGGGATGCGCCTTAATTCTCGAGCTCAGCCTGGAGGAGGAGTCGGCAGTTTGCTTTTTGGAAGCTGCTGGCGGCACTGCAGGGCTTCAAAGGAGCCGGGGGGAGATGGGTGGCCGTCTCTGGCTCTGAAATTAGTGGGGTTTTGGATGGTTAAAACACACTCTGCGGTACCCGGGGGCTCTGGGAAACCGGGAAGCTGCAGGAAAGCAGCAGGCGTGATTCATGTCTCCGAACCGGCCGCAGAAATTCCCCGGTAGCCTTCAAGTTTGCTTTCCAGGCACTTCTGCAGAGCAGGGCTGACTGCGAGCCAGGGCGGTGAAAACGGAGGGACTGCAGTAAATCCTCCTTTCCTCCCTCTCTTGCAGGACGGGATCCGCAGTCAGGCGCAGAGAGCTGCCGCGGCGCAGCCTGGGAGCTCCTGCTGTTCGCCGGAGAGCCATCGACCTAAGGGGGGAAAAAAAAAAGCTCTGAATAAATCCCAGGTAACCCAAGCAGGGAGGAGCGTTGTGTCTTACAGGAGGCCGCCCGGGAGGCGGTTTGCTCACGGGGCGAAGCCTCGGCAGGGCTGGGGTGGCACGGTGGCAGACTTGCCCCCTCTGTAACAGCGTCGGGACCGCGCTGCCAACACCCAGAGCGAGCCCCAAACTGGTGCAAACTCCTTCTCTCTTACTCTCCCGCCAAGCTGGCTCTGGCTGCGCGCTCTGCCCGCCGGGCTCGGCCCCCAGATTTTATCCAGATTTTCTTTTTATCCCTGTTGGAGATCCCTATCCAGCTTGGACAGGGAACAGAGGACACAGTTTCTCTGGCCGCATCTCGCGTGCTCGCCGGGAGGGGGGATTGCTGCATTTGGCTTTCAAGATGCTCATTTACATTTTAAAACCATTTGCAAGCGCTTTTCTTTCTCTCTCTTTTTTTTTTTTTTAACTTGGCTTTGCTTTCTGTGCTCCCGCCCCTCCGAAACAGCAAGGCCACTGCAGGGTTTCAAGGACGATCCTCTGATTTCTTTGCCATTGAATTAAAGATGGGTGAAACAGCCGTAAAAGACAAATGCCCTCTGACCTTGAAGAAGGGCTATCTGCTGCCCTCCCATCGGGTTTCCCCAGCCTGCCGAGCCCTAAAGCTGCCCCAAACTGCCGGAATTATATAATATAGCCCCAAGTGCTGGGCGGAAACCTCGTACCACTTGAATTTAAAGCAACACTGCTGGAGCAGGGATGGTTTCTGGAAGAGACTCCTTTTGGTCGGGTGCTGACAGCGCCCCTCGCTCTGGCGGTGGGCTGAACCTTGCGTTTCGCTCGCTTCCTCTTCCCGCCCCAGAGCTGTTCCCTGCGTAGGTGTGAGGGAGGGCAGGGATTGAATTTTCCCTGGAAAAGTGTTTCTGGGACGAGGAGACGTGAAGCCAGGGGAGATCGCTGAGCCCTCGTGGCGGGGACGAGGGTTTCCCAGCTCGGCATGGGATGGGGTGAGCAAAGTGGCGGCGGCTGCTGGGGAGAGAAGCGAGTCGGGGCTGGAGCCTGAGCAGGGGTGAGCGCTGGTGTTTTCAGCGGCTGCTTTCCTCCTCCTCCTCCTCCTCTACATCCTCGTTAGCGAACCAGCTGATTCTCCACTCATCAGCAGAGCCGCGTGGCTGCGAGGCGCTCGCCCTCCCCTGGGGGGCGGGGTCCCGCGGG